GACAGGAACCCATGAATGCGACAAAGAAGGCATGGTCAGAGGTGCTCAGGCAGACTGAAAACCCAATGAGGAAGGTTGTCATGGAATCCAAGTGAAGAGTTTCAAGGGACAATGGCCCCCATCACACGCAGTTGTGAGGGCCAGTGTCCAAGGGCAGCATGGACTTCAGTGACCAAGAGGTCCCAGGTGGGCTTGTGAGGGGAGTTTCAGAGCACTTCTGAGACGTGAGCCATAGAGTGTGGAGGATGGCGAGTGAGCACGGACAGCTTCCCCGGCTGAGGAGTCTGCGTGAGAAGGAGTGCAGAGTGGTGGATGACGAAGGGTGGGGATATGGGATGTCAGACCTCACCACACCGGGCCCAAAGCTCCAGACCTGGGAAGGTGCAGGAAAGGGGCCAGCTGACGGAGCCAAGCCCCTCCCGGAAGAGAAAGAGGTAGTGATGTCAGAGGCCGGGGGAAGGGCTGGCCCTGACTGGAGAAGGGCCACCACATCCTTTGGGCTTGGACAGAAGAATATAAAATTGGGGGAGGGTGGATGTAGGGTCATGGGTGGAGGAGCATGGTGGTGCGGGGGTGGTCTGGGTGATGGTTGGGTAACCTGCTTAGAGTGAGGTGGCTGTGGTTGAGCAGGAGGCTGGCACACAGGACAGAATAAGGGACATGGGTGGATGAAGGGAGTGGAGACCATGCCCTGAGGTCTCGGTGGGGGTGCTAGAGACCCTGATTTGTTCTGGCACTGACCTGGGGGACTGAGTAACCTTCCCCAGCAGCACCCTATGGTCTTATGCGGAGGGACGGTCATTGAATTCAGGGTGGGGGCTTTGCGGGGTGGGGGACAAAGAACAGAAATGCAAGATGACGCCCGAGCTGGATATGATGTGTGGCCCCCAGTGGGGGTCCACCTTCCAAGAAGGCCTGAGCTGGGCCCTCCTCAGCCTCTTCCTGCGGATTTATTCTAGGCCCGGAGAGGGAAGTGACCAGTCCTGGGAGGAGTTGGTGGGGCGGGGCGGCAGGTTTCCACGCAGCCTTGAAGCCCCGCGAGGCAGCCACAGGCCCGTTGAGCCACACCGCTGGCTTCAGGCTCCGAAGCGAGAACGCAGGGATGGTTTGCTTTTTACGTCAAGTTGGCGAGCCTACTGCCCTGCCTCTCCCTCCCCATCCCCTGCCCACTTCCTGCCTTTACGGCGATGGCATTCAAACTTTTTGTTTTCAACCACAACCCACAAGTAAGAATTAATTTGACATCATGATTCAGCAGATGCACACACACACTGCACAACCGCAACGAACGTTTCGCGATCCATCCCCACCCTTACTCCGGAAGCCTCCTCGTGCTCTTCTTCGCTCCCATCCATTTCATGAAAGGAGCGCTGGTCACAGCCCAGGTGGATTCCACGGGTCCCTGGACAGGTCCTGGAGAAGCACCATGCTAAGAGGGGGTGGCCCCTCCTCTAGGAAGGGCGTCCACTCTCAGAGAACATGCCTCCTGTCCCCGTGATGCTGGCAGAAGGTGATGCCCGCAGCTCAGCCATGACCAGGATTCCATTTTTTTAAAAAAAGATTTTATTTATTTATTTGACCGAGAGAGAGAGAGAGAGAGAGAGATCGCAAGGAGACAGAGAGGCAGGCAGAGAGAGAGAGGAGGAAGCAGGCTCCCTTGTTGAGCAGAGAGCCCGATGCGGGGCTCGATCCCAGGAACCTGAGATCACAACCTGAGCCCAAGGCAGAGGCTTTAACCCACTGAGCCACCCAGGCGCCCAGGATTCTATTTTTAATGTAACTTCTCCTTCCCCCCTCCCCTTCCATCTCCCACTGGAGAAACTGGCCTGCCTGGAGAAGCCCCACAGGCAGGGGACTTCCGGGCACACCGTTCCCCGTAGGCAGTTCCGTGGCTGCTGAAACCACGCACCCCTCATGCCGGCTGCTTCCTGCGTCCCCCCTCCCCCACCCCTCACACTTAGGAGACCTGCACACTCTCCTCACAGGCACGTCCACACACACTCCAGGGGATAATTTGGGGGCACCTGCCAGCCCCCTCTTCCTTCTTGGAACGTGCCCTCACCCAGTCCCTGTGGAGGGAAGGTTTGGCAGCCGCATGGGTTTTGCTCCTGTGGCCACGCCCGGAGCTGAGTGGAGTGGGGGTGGCGCCCTGCTGTCGTGCTCTGGGAATCAGACTCACTTCCCCAAACTCCAGGAAGAGACTTGGGGGGGGGGCACCTAGTTTGGGTCGGGGGCTGAGGCCACAAAGGAGAGTCAGGACAGTGGTCTGGGTAGGGGCTGTGGCTACAGATTCCCACCCAAAGCACAGTCACAGAGAAGAGGAAACCCAAGGTCCCCTCAGAGGGTAGGTGGCAGGGGTGCTGGGGGAGTACAGTGGCCGGTGGCCGGTGGCCGGAGGGAGGCGCTAAGCCAGCCAGGCAGCTGGGAGAGTGGCTGAGTCAGCAGTATCCCAGGGTCTATGAAGCCTCACTGGGCTTTCAGCTCTTCATTCTAGATGCTTTCGACAGCACCCTCTGGGGCTTGGCACGAACAGGTTCCTGTTCCATAAACCTAGGAAATCCACAAGGGGCTTGTACTGAGCCCGGCCAGCATTGCACACCCTCCGCTAGACCCCAGCTGTCCCACTGCTGGGAGCAAGGCCTGCAGCAGACTGGAGTCCTGCCAGAAGGCGGCTCTGGGGTCTGGATATGACCACCTGGCCCCAGGTCCCAGAGCCTCCTCCAGGGACGACCCATGGCAGGGGCGCCTCCAGCTCTACACCAAACCACCTGACTTGCTGTTTTTTTTGCCGGGTGATCGGGCGGTGGGGGGTGGTGGTTTAGAAGCGGAAACAAACAACCAATCCCCTCCTTAATATTCACAAAATAGCTAATTCGTCAAACCTTCGTTTTTTGTCAATTTATTTAGAAAACAATTAACATGGGCAAATGAGATACCTCAGTGTTACAACAGAGTATAGAAATGTCTAGCAATAGTCAAATAATTTGATCTTTAAATACAAAATAACCACATGAACACCTAATATACAGGTTTCATCTGAATACATATTTATTAGATAAATATTAGGGGTTGTCACATCATCTAACTACATACAGCTTTGCAAGACTAGAAATCACAATTAGTTTTCTGACCAGTTTAAAGTATGAAATGATTGCATTGTACATAGATGTACAAAGACGATGACGGTTTCTGTGGGGGGGGGTCACTTCAGGCTGCACTGTGGGTGTGTTTATGTGTGTACGTGTGAGTCACCTGCAATCATGATATCAAAAAATTATACAAAGTATGAATTTGGTTACAATTTTCTTCTGAAATCCCCGTTTCTTTTCATTATTTCCATAGCACCCTAAAAATACACAGGTGGCAGGACTAGCACACTGAAGCTAAAGAGTACATGTAGGTAAAATAAAAAGGAAACAGAACAAAAATTCCTTTCCACACAGGGTCAGAGTATATTACATGAGACACATGTGGAGAGAGACCTCACAGACGCTAACGAACAGGATCTAGTTTTTCCACGTTAAGATGGAGTTCCAAGCCTTTTTTTTTTGTTTTGTTTTGTTCCATAAAATAAAAACAATACACATTCCAAGGGAAATGAATGCATCTGTTAACGTGTCTCTATTTCTCATTTACATATGTACACACGTCCCTTGTCCCTTGAGTTGCTGCTGCTGACGTCGTCCTGTCTAGGTGGTCAGGTCGAGGGAGCAGACAGGTAGCTCTCTGGGGGGTTTCGGGCTTCCGTGAGGGAGAAAGTATTAGAAGTTTCTTAAAAAATAAAATGGCTACAGGGAACATGATACACGGGTAAAGCTTCGAACCAAGGAGATGGGGTGATTGCCTGTATTGGGGCCTTCCCGCCTGCTCGCTGGTGCCCTGTCCGTCCTGTGGAGTGCCAGCAGAAATGCATCTGCGGCCTGGGTGGATGCTTGTCATGGAGAAGTGGCTTGCTGAGACCTCGTTTTTGCTGAGGTTACTTATGGCTCCAAGTAGACGTCCAAAAGGATGAGGGAAGCATCTCCCCAGAGTTCAGAACCGCCCTGGCTCAGGGAGGCTGTTGTCACCTGAAATCTGTCACCAGCTGGGCCTTCATCCAGCCCCGGACACCTTTCTGCCTCCCTCACCCCCCGGCCTGGCTCCAAAATTGCTCTGGGGGGCACAACCCCAAAGCACGGGCTTCAGGCACCACGGTTCGGGAAAGCTCTTTGTCCAACTTGCTGGTGGAGGTTCGCGTGGGAGGGGCCCCAGGAAACGTGCCTCGGGGAACCAAGCCCGGGCTTCCACAGAGATGGTTGAGGGAGGGGCCCAGAGCCTGGGCTATGGGGAGCAGATCGACCCTCTGGCCTAGGAAGCTGTGGGTAGGTTGGTGAGCGGAATGGGGACACCTGGTAAGAACCAGCATGGACCCCAGGCCTTTTTGGGAGGAAAGTAGCACAGCAGGAAGCGGGAACTTCTAAGGAAGGCATTTAAGTCTGTCTGGGGCAGAACATTCCCAGATGGCCTAACACAGAGTGTGGCCACCTGCCAGGGCCCTCAGCCACCGGGCGAGGACGACCACATGCTACCTGGCACTGTCTGGTCCCCGCCAGCCGACTGGGGATGGCTCTAAACAGCAGGTGGCCTGACCTCACCCACCCACGTACTTTGTCCCTTCATCTGTACAGACAGCCCTGGTTGCTTTTTTGTTTTTGTTTGTTGTTTTTTAAAAAAAAGGACTCGGTCTTTGTTGTTGAGTCAAGGTATTTTAAAAACACCAGCAAAGGCTATAACCAGGTCATGAAAATGTTGAATATTATCAAAGACAATACTAAAATATTCACAAAGATATTTACAAAAGCAATTCTTAAAATAATTGATTTGCATACTGAACACCACACTGTCTGAAAAAACCTCGACAACGGGACAAAGGAAAAGGGGACAGGGACCATGGCAGCTTTCCTACAGAGAACCTTGTGCCGGCTGTCTGGTACAGTGACTGGAAAATCAACAGCTGGGGTCAAACCCAGAGGAGCGCTGGGCACCGCCCGCCATGGGGCGAGGGTGTAGGGGGGAGACGGAGAGTGAGACCGTGGGACAGTGGACGGAAAGCAGGAGGCCCCCAGCAGCAGCAGGGAGGGGCGCAACGAGTTCACAGACGTGACCCAAGTGACCCGACGGCCCAGCAGCATCACAGGCCATGCGGCTTAGGGTGGGGGGCACAGAGGACCCCCAAACAAAACGGACGCCCACACAAGCTCCCCGGGAGATTCCGAGAGCAGGAAGCCGGATGGAGCGAAGCAGTGGAGGGAAAACCAGAGGCTGCTTCTGCTCAAGCGAGCAGGAGTGTGGGCAGCTGTGCAGGGCAGAGGGACACGGGGAGGGAGAGGCCGGCAGCCAAGCGGGGCACAGAAACACCACGGGATGCTGGCAGGCACATTCCGGCACGTGTGGTGTGACGGACCGGGGTGCAGCCGGGACAACCTGGAGCACAGGGACAGACGGGGCCGCCGGGCTGGAGGGACGCCCGTGCCTGGGGTTCCTGCGGATAAGCCGCGCAGGTGCCCTAGCCCGTGCCTCCCCTGCCTCTCCACCGGCGCCCCCCGCTGGCAGGGTGGACAAAGGAGAGTGGGACAAAGGGAAGCGGGCCTCCCATATAACAGTCTGGGAGAGGTGGGTGGGGGCAGCAGGAAGGAAACAGGATGCACGGAGAGAAATGGTTTGCTTGCCGTCCAAGTCCACCGTCCCTTTTCTCAGATGACTTCGTAGCTTAATCAAACTGTCATTTAAAAACAGGGAGTGGCTTGGAGCAACGTTGTTTAAGTTGCCGTTTCTATCCGACTCTGGCCAGCGGCATCCCCCTGCCCCCCAACTAAGGGCACAGTAATTTCAGCTGGGTACTCTCTGTCTGCGCTGCCCCCCACCGCCAGGCCGGTGCCCCACCCCCCGACCGGCCTGAGTCCAGAGGTCGTGGGGCCAGCTGCGTTGTCCTGGCTCTGAGGAGGCCCTGACCCCCTTTCCCACCAGTCCCCAAGCAGGAATGGCACACCCTCTCTCAAACACAGAATCATGTCCTTTTTCTCTGCTTTCTGAGAGAGGAGTGTTTTTACAGGGTATCTTGGCTTAGAGGTCAGGGGTCAAAGTGACGACCTTGGCCCCTGAGAGAGTTCTCTTTCCCAGAGGTTTGTGCTTTTCTGTGGTGGGTGGTGGTGGTGGTGGTGGGTGGGCCGTTCTCACTGCCGCCAACCGTCACTGTTCCTCCAAGGCTTGGGGTGTGGGGGGGGCCTGCCTGGGTCTCGGGGTGCCCCTCTCTCAGGCTCACAGTCACTTGAAGGAGGCTCTGGGCCAGGAAGCAGGGAGGCAGGGTTACAGTCTAGAAACCGGAAGAACCTCGAGGGCACTGGAGGGTCGTTTGGAATCAGTACACACAGAGGGACCAGGAAGCCTTTGTCAGCATGTGCCCTCTCGCCGGGCCGGTTCCCCACCACGAGGGTCATCTTCAGGGCCCGCTCTGGGCACGGGCACCAGCCCCACACAGCCTTCACAGTGCACCCTCCCGCCCCTCTGCTCTGAGAAGGCCGCGCAGCAGGGGCGGTCTGAGGGCATGAGCTCCCAGTGGTGAAGTGTGCGGGGGACAGAGAGGGAAGGAGCCAGAGTGGGGAGGGACGGCCCCAGTGGCGGGGGGGTGGGCTTCAGTTGTTCTCAAAGAGAGACAGGAGGTCATCGTTACTATTGCTCGGCAGGTCAGGGGGATCCAGGTACGAGAGGAGCTCATCGGGATTTGTGAGTTCTGGAAGGAGCTGGAAGAGAAGTACAGAAGCCCAGATGAGGTGTCAGCTGAGGGGCTGGGATGGCCTAGAGTGCGGACTGTGGGGGCATGTGCCCTCTAGCTGCTGCCCGGGGTCCTGGCCCAACACCAACAGTGTTGGCTGTCCCCAGAGGCATCCAGGCCACAGAGCTAGTCTGAGGCATACCCATGCTCATTCCCAGCGGGGGAGAGGGTGGCCCCCCGCCCTCCAGCTGGGAAGGCTCATGGCAGGTCAAGGGACTTTCTTCTGATCCCAGTGTGCCTCCAGCCCCAAGACCCTGCCCAGAGGAGGTGTGGGTCGCATGGGCCTTCCAGTCGAAACCACGTGGCTTTGCGCGTAAGGCAGCATGGCGCCCGTCACTGTCGCCAGCCTGTACCTCCCTTCAAGAGCTCACTGTCTGGTGAGCCTACGGCTGGAGGGCCGCTGGCGGGCCACACAGCACTGTCCTTCCCTGTGGCCCCCGGGGCCAAGGCTGCACACTGTCCCTACCTTCTACTGTGAGGCCCTTGGGGCCTTTTTGTCACACTGGGGATCCTCATGCACCTAAAAGCACCCCCACTGGCCTGGTCTGAGGAGGAGAGTTGGGTGAAAATCCAAGATGGCTGCAAGGCTGAATAAACCCCATTCACCATAGAGACCAACGCTGCGGGGGCTGAGGGTGACAGTGGGCCTGGGCCCGCAGACAGGAGGGGCTGGGGACAGAGAAGATTCCTCTGTGGGAATCTATAGCCCAGGGGCATGGGAGGGGAGGGGAGGGGAAGGCGCTGCCTCCCTTCCTGGCCAACCCTAGCCAGCTGCCCCCATCACACGGAGCCTCTTTCCACCCCACTTTCCAGACCATTCAGCTCTCAAGGTGGGAGACCCCTGAATCTCAGTCACCCTGGCACGACCCGAGGCTGGTCCCTTCTCAGGGTGAGCGATGGAGCAAGCAGAAGCACAGGGCATGGACGACGCACGGACAGGAAACTGGACACAGACACACACCAGCGAGACAGACAGAGGGACCCTGTCACTCCAACCCCTCCCCTGCCTCAGGCCAGAGTGTGGCAGACACTGAGATGACAAGCTTGATGTTGGGGGTGGGGGTGGTCAGAAGAAGGGCAGGGGCCTTCCTGGGTTTCCTGCTGAACCCTGCCCCAGGGGGACTCTGTGAGGGCCTGGGGGAAGGTGGGGGTGGGGCAGGGTGGGGCTGCAGGACTGTGGCCGAGGGGACCAGGGGGCAGGCGCTGGCAAGGTCAGGGAAAGGATGCTGGGACCCTTGGGGAGGCTTCCCTGTTGTGGGGTTCCCTGGTTCTGGAGCCAGGGGAGGCAGGCTGGCTAGGCCCACCCACCACCCACCCACCCCCTCACAGCTGCACCTCCTCCACCCTGGGCCTTGAGCCCTCAACACCCACCCCTGCTTTTGGGCAGGTCCCGGTACCAGGCCTAGCCCCAGGCCAAGGCCAGTGGTGACCCCAACTTACATCCAGCGAAGGCTCCGGCATGTCGGATGCTCCCTGCGCTCCGGCCTGACCCTCTAAGGCTGAGGAGGGGTTAAAGGTCAGGTCGCTGTGTGGATGGTTGCTGGGAGCGGCCTGTGGCGGTTGCCGGGGAGGCTGGGAAGGAGGAGGAGGAGCCCCACTGTGATGTAATGGAGGCCCTGACTGGCTGCTGGGGTGTGGGACGTGCAAACCTTGTTGTATGGAGGGATGGGGCTGGTCAGAACTGCCAGCGTGTGGCATCTGTGGAGGAGGAGAGAGCAGGAGAAAAGAAATGTGAGGTGACGAGGTACAGCGACGAGATGCCTGGAGAAATGAAAACCAAACAAAACCAGGAAAATAACAAACCCCCAAAACAAAGCCACCCCCTTCCAAAGCTCAACGCTTTGTTGTTGTTTTGTAGGGAAACAAACAAACAAAAAGGCCTCCCCCAAAACTGCCAGTCAGGGAGGCTGTGGAGGAGGCAGGGAGGAGGCCTCTGGGGCCGTGCGCGTCCAGGAGGGAGGTGGCCAGGGGCTCCGAGACAAGCAGACACTGACGGTGGGGTCCAGGCCCCCGCAGGCCCGTCCGCCTCCGTGGTCCGGACACCATCACCACAAGGAGCAGCAAGGGCGGAATGGAGAAGCAAAATGGGCATGTTTCCAGGGAGCGGGGTGGGGGTGCTGGGGGCAGCGTGGTGCAGGGCCCCCTGAGGGCCAGGGCAGCGGAGAGCGGACACGGACAGACAGCATGGGCAGGCGTGCAGCTCAGGGGGGGTTCTGCGCCCCACACGGGCCCCAGTTGGTGGGTAACGCTGGACACACAGGCTCCTTCCAAGAGCCCCTGGTGGCAGGGGCTGGCACCTCGGGATGAGCCCTGCCTGCGGCCCCGGGTGGGCGGAACCGAATCCAAGCCGGAGGAGCAGAGTGGGGCCTTCTCTGCATTGCCAGACCCTTCCTGTTGGCCTTCCATCTAGGCAGCGAGAGGCCGCATCCCGGGGGGATGAGGAAGGTAGGCACTTCTAGGCCTGGCCCTAGGCCCGAGGGCTCACTGAGTTGAGCAGGAGGTGCCCGGAACATGGGGCTGCGGCAGGCAGGGGGCCATATGTTGGTCTGTGTGCTGTCGCAAGCAGCCTCCCTTCAGAGCTCAGGTCTTAGAGCACAGATCCACACCCTCACCCCACTGCCAGGGCCCCCGACAAATCGTGCCCACCCTGCCGGCCCTGTGCTTGTTGAGGGGAGATGGACTTGACAGGCTGCGGGGGAGCACGCGTCTCCTGGGCCTTCTTGGACCTTCCTACCCAACCCCATCATCCAGGCCACACAGACATTTTGTTTTCCTCTGATCTCCAGACCCTAGTTCCTCTTCCTGTTTCTCCTGAAGCTGCCCCAAGGCCTTGCGCTGGGCCTCTGCTCAATCCAGCAAGCCCCTCCAAGCTGGGACCGGACTGCAGGACTGTGGGACTACACGGGGGATGCACCTGAGATAGGAAGGACTGACAGAAGAGGGAAGGATGACCACCACACCAACTGGTGACCCCCCCACCACGGCTGTGGGTGCCCCATGGTGCCCATTCTGGGGGGCAGGGAGTGGCTCCATACTCCCGGAGCAGCCCAGCCCAGGGCAGATGGTCCCCAAATCTGCTGACACAGCTGTCCGCCTTGGCTCTGACAACTTGCTGGAAGGTCCCAGGGCCCAGAGAGGCAGGTGCCTGCCACGGCTCCCGCAAGGGAGGGTCTCCATGAACCAGCACCTGAATGGAGCCTTTCATCCACGCCCTGCACACGGGGGCGTCCTTCCTGGCAGGTGCTCAGCCAGGGCCAGGCTGCTATGGTGTAGGGCAGTACAGCTATGACCGCACTGACCCTCTTGCACAGCTGTCTCTCTGGGTCCAGCTGCCAGTTAGCAAAAGCCCAGATATGGGGAAGGACAGTACGTATCTTGGGACCATCTTGGGGCGGGGAGCTGTGAGGTCACCTAAGGGCTTAGGTTCCGCTGCAAAAACCTCTGGTGGCCCAGCTAAGAAGGCAGGAGAAAGCCTTGTTGGACCTAGAAGTACACGGCATCCCGTTGACATTTTCCGGAACTGAGAACTGTGAGTCAGGGTGTGTGGCATGTGAGTGTATGTGGCGTGTGATTTGGGTGACTCTGGGGCACAGAATGTTGAGGAACAGGGGCTAGGAAAGAGGCCCCTAGAAGTCAGAAAGTAACTTGCAAAAATGTGGCTGGAGCCCTGGGACAGCAGCTACATCTGACGTGGCATTCTGGAGTTCCAGAGGAAAGCCGCTACACTGTCCCTCAGCCTGTCAGCCTTCCAGTTAACAGTCATTCCTGCTGAGAATCAGTGGCTCTGGCCCACAAGACAGCTTCTGGCAGAGCCAACTCCATACGGAACACACCACAACCCAGAGGCCCTTCCTCCCAGGCCACATGGTGGAAGATGGGTGGGTGTGGACCTGCCCAAACCCACTCCCAGGTCCCCCGTGGCCGCTCCCTCCTCCTTAGGGGAGAGACCAGGGACTCACAAGATGATTGAGGCCTGACTTTAGCCCTCAGGCCTCTGTGTTCCCAAAACCCAACTCCCTCCATCCAAGCACTGCCAGAACTTTTGCTCCATTGGCACAAGGCCCGCATCTGTCTTGCTCACACTAGCTACAAGGCCTAGCCCAGAGCACAGGCCCAGGAAATGTCTACAGAGTCGAAGAGAACCACGCAGTGTTCATGAGATGAGGACCCGGGGGAATGGCGGGGCCTGTTACCACTGGTTGGTATGTGTTAAAATGGGACAGGAGACAAGAAGGGAATATTCTCAGGCTAAACAGAATCGCCAGCATTTCTTCCCACAGGAGATGGTGATATCCTGAAGATCCAGACCCCTGGGGAGCAAGTGCCTGGGTTTGAGACAAAATTCTAGATGGCTGGGGCTACAGTAAGTCAGCAGAAGAGTGTGTGTAAGTCAGGGAGAAAGGCTGCGGGGTGGGGGGCTGGCGTGTGCAGGGGGCTGCTATGTGCAGTGGCGCGGTGGGTACACTTGGGAGGTGGACACAGGTATGTGTGGTGTGTGCAGATCGGAGCCTGCAGCCTCCCCCAGCTGAGAATCTAATGTCCTGAGTGAAACAGCCAAGTCCGAGAACGCCAGAGGGCCATGACCCAACCTGGGTCAGGCCTCTCCTTCCCTCTGAGCCCGCCCAGGCCCATTCTCATTCTCAGTCCACCCCTTTCCTCGGGGGCGGGGGGAGCTAGGCAAACAACAGAAAGGTCCTCAGGGATGGGGAGCCCTCTGCTCCCATGAGTCACACATAGAGGATGGGGACAAAGGGGGAGAAGGCAAGGGGTGGAGAGGAGATCAGGGTGAAGAAGAGGTACTCACAGTTTCCTGCATGGGGTGGCTGAGGGGTTTCTCGAGGGCGGCCATGTTGTTGGGCATGTCCGGGGGGTGGGAGAGCTGAGGGGGCCCGTGCATGAAGTCGTTCATGGACGTGCCACCAGGGTTTCCATGGGGGAAGTCAAAGTTGCCGTGGCCCTGGTAGTTGTTGCCTGGGGAGGGAACAAGATGGTAGTGGGGCAGTGTCACCCAGGGGAAAGACAGCCACGGGGGAGTGTAGGGAGGTAGCATATGTAAATTAAGATGAGTCCTGTCCCCTGAGGCTGGAGTTGGCTCCTGTGGCCTTAGACATCTGGGCTGGCTGTATGACAGGGCAGTGATAGCCTTCTCTGGTGGGCCCTAGCACCCCAGGACATGAGCTGTTTTACAGGTATGAGGGGACAGAGTTTGAGCAAGGGGCAGGCCAGGCTCCTAAGGTGGCAGGGGAGTGGGAATGACGAGGCCCAAGTCTGAGCCTTCCATAGGGTCTGCTGAGCTAGATCCCCAGGGCTGTCTCCCCCAGCCCCCACATGGTTGCACCTCAGCCATGGGAAGACCCCGGCCCAGAATGGGAGATTGGGATCTGCCCAGTCTGCAAAGAAAGCTGCTTCAGGTTTGAGAGGTCAACATGAGAAGTCAGCTGTCTGGCTTCCCTGGCCACTGTTCCCTCTACCACATGGCCCCAGCGAGGGATCAGAGGCCCATCATGCTGGAAAGCTGGGGCCTGCTGAACGCTGTGGGACCCTGCTATGTGGGTTCACCTCTCTGGGCTTCTAATCATCCAGAGCCCGGATGCCGTGAGGAGCTGCCATCCCCTGTGTTTAAGGGGGCTGGGAACTTTCTAGAAACCTAGGGCTGTAGGGTACAGCTTAGTCTGGGCAGCAGGGAGAGTGAGAGGTAGTGATGGTGACCTTGGTGGCCAAAGACTGGGGCTGCAGACCTCTGGACTCTGTGCCTGGAAGGATGGGAGTGTTGTAGGGACAAGGACGATAAGATGTTACAGAGAAACATGGGAGGGCCAGGGGAAGGGCCAAGAACTCCCAAGTGGGAATGTTCTGTTGGTGGCCCCAGCAAAGCAGGCTCCAAAGGAGTCAAGGAGCTGTCTCTCCCTTGGAGCTTGAGGAGGCGAGTAGGGGAATGTGGGAGAGGCAGGAGGCTGGCCCACGGGCAGCTCCTTACTTGGGCCTTCCCAGCTGGGTGCTGACCCACAGGGCTGGACGGAATCACGTGGGAAAGGAGACGAGGATGGTGTTGAATGGGCCACTGTACCCCCAAGTCCAGTGACCTGGGTCATGTTTTGGGCGTGTACATTATCACAACCCCCCTTGCACCTGCCACATGAGCCCAGAAATCCTGGGCCCCTCGTGGGCCTCCTCTTTCCCTCCTTGTCCAGTTTCACCCACCTTGGTTGCTGTAGTCGTTGGAGCTGGTGCCCCCCGGTGGAGGAGGGAGGGGGTAGGGAGATGGGCCAGGGCCCAGGGCTGCGATCATTTCCATGACGTTGGGCATGATCATCTGGCTGGGACTCATGGTCTTGAACCTCTTGGAGGGGATGCCATCTGGGTCATCTTTAATGTGTAGGTCTGACTTGATGGGGACTGGCCGCCAGCTGCATGTGGGGTCGATGGTGACCTCTTCAAACTCGGAGCTGGGGGGAGGAAGGGGACAGAACAGAGGTCCTGGGATACAAGAGCTTCCAGCTTAGACACACACTGAAGTGTCCCTGCCCAGGCCTTCTGTCCCCATTCTCGCCACACACTGCACAGGACAGAGGTGTGAGGGATTTTAGGGAGTGACCGAGGTGAGGAAAAGCTAGAGGCTGGGTACCAGGCAGCTGGCCCCAAGGCCTCCCACCCAGGAGGCTGTCCGGGGCACTGTCTTGTTCTGGCTGAGTTTGGGACTTTCTGGAAAGTTCATCTGCCCCCAGGTAGAGAAGTCCCTGAGGTAGAGTCACAGAGAAAGGAGAGCCTGGGCTGCTGAGTGGTCTGCCTGCCTGGAGAGCGAGGGGGTGTCAGGAGTACCCCCGTGCTCATGTCATCCCATCCAGGCCAGTCCCCCCACCCACCCCACCATGTGCCCCTAGCTGGGGAGGCCGACTTACTGTTGGATGGCGTTCAGGATGCCCCACATGTACTGATCTACCTCCAGGCCCTCAAGCAGAGCAGTTTTACTGGAAAAAAGAGAGAGGGGTTTGGCCTTCACTCTTGTACCCCGGAGAGTAGGGGCAGAGCCCACCCCTCCCCACTGTGTCAAAGAGCCTCCACCTCTGCGATCCTACGGGAGGCAGAGACAGGAGGAGGCCGGCCTGCGACAGCAGGACACAAGAGGATGGCTCACAGCCCTCTTGCTCTGAGCTCCTCCGCCGGTCTGGGTTCCCTGTTTGGCTTCTAGGCCAGGTGCAGGGGGCTGGGCCCGGAACGCAGGGCCCGATGGAGGCCAGTGAGCTCCTCCCCTTCGAGGCTAGGTTGGGGGGATCCCACTGGGGCAGCCGTCACTCACTTGCACACAGGACACCTCCAGGTCCCTCTCTCGCAATTCAGCTGCAGGTACGACTCCAGGTCAAAGCACTGTAGAGGCCGGGAGACAGGTAGACAGACAGACGAATGAGAAGATGCAGAGATGCAAATGCCTCTGCTCTTGGGACCCTTACGAAGATCTCCCAGCAGGGAGGGAGAGGGGTGCGGGGAGAGACTGGGGCGTCACCGGACGCCCCACACCCTGCTACCCCCGGGAACCCTCACCTGGACGTGCTTGCAGTCGTGGCCTCGAGCAGGCAGCTGGATGCGCCGGAATGTGATGGGGCACTTCAGAGACACCTTGATGGCCGTCTGCTCCACGCCATCCTCCCCGTTGAGGGTCGTATTGCCCGACGAGGCAGCCACGCTGCTGAAATTCCGCTTGACTGTGGGGCAGGAGGCACAAGTGGATGTGGGACACAGGGCCATCCCACGCACATGGCACTCCCTCCTGGGGCTGGGACACAGGCTGCTTCTCCACTGCCCCGAAGACACTGGGAGGCCCCGGGAATAAGAGGTGCAGCCCGGCCTGACTGGAGGGGAGACTTGACCCTCCGGGCACCCTGGGCCACTCAGCACTCTGGGATGGCAGCCCCCACGCATGATGTGTGGGAGGCATGTGCCCCTAGAGGTCACCATGTCAGCTCCCCAGTCTCTGTGGAACAGGCCCCACCTTCCCTAGGAAGGGGGACTTCCTACCACAGGTGCGGAAACCCAGTCTGGCATGGCTCATGGTTTTCTGGGTCACGCACACTTGCTTCTGCAAGGGCAGAGATGGGAATGGACCAGTGCCTGGTGGGAACCAGGGGCTCAGGAGGTCACGTGAAGAAGCAGAGTCAGAGGGAGGAGCCGCAGGGCACCTCCCGACATGGTGCCCCTCACTAATGACCTGGGTGTTTCCTCCAAAGGACCTGACTCTGAGTCAAATCCCTCTCTCTAGCTGTCAAGCTGGGGAGGCCAGTCGGGAAATTACCCCTGGGCCTCCTTTCTGCTGAAGACCCCCTCTGTCCAGTTCCTAGGGGTGATCTTCCAGGTGATCACCGCTTCCAGGAAGCTTGCCTGGCCTGTCTACACCATGGCGTTTCCTTTTAATTTGCCTCACTCCCCTGTGCTGTGAGCCCGCTTGTCCAGGCTAGAGAGGTCTCACAGGCCATGTTACTCTGATCATCCCCCCGGCTCCAGAAGGAGGGACATGAATTGGGGATAGGGACTGGTGCCAAGGGACATGTGGGCCCTGTGGTTTGTGCACGGAGCCCAAGGTGGGTCCTGGGTGGATGATGAATGTGGCTGGACAACAAACACGGGCCATGGCTGGTTCTGGCTCCCTGCGCCCCCACACTTACTTTTAGTGATACAGTGCTCGGCTGGCAGGAGTCGCTTCTTCAGGAGGCCTTGCAGCACTGAGCGCACGGAGGGCCGGTGGACCAGTTGCAGCACGAAGAGGTGGGACTGCCAGGAAAGAGTGTGGGCTCAGTCCCCGCCCTATGGTCCCCCTATGCCTCCCTGTGGTCCCAACTTGTGCCTGCCTGAAGGCCCCTGAAGGCCAAGCACGGGAAAGGGTCTGTGATCCATAGTGATACCACTCTAGAACAGGTCCCCTTGAGGCCCCTGGGACTGGTGAGCTTGGAGATCCAGGCAGGGGTCACCCCTTAGGACAGCTGCCTGGGGCTTGGGCTGACATTGAAACACCCCTGGCATCAGGTTATGGGACCCCCGGCATCAGGACTGGAGCTGGCCTCACTTCCTGACCTCACCCAGCACTATCCCCCATCATGTGTTCTTCACCATTCCTGACAGAGTGTTATCCCTGTTTTCACTCCTCCAGGAAGCCTCCCAGGATTGTACACCCTCGCGAGCCCCTCCAGGCTCTTGATTCTGTGACTCCTGTCTTTAGGTAGCCTTGGTGTCCCTATGCTTGTAAGGGCAGGATCAGTGATTTTCCTTCTCCATGTCCCCCACAGAGGCTAGCAGAGCGGGGTAGGCAACCTACTTCCCCACATGTCCCTGCACAAGCCCTTTGTGCAGGCCCTGATCTCTGGGGGTAGGAGAGTGGCTCAGATGGGGACCCAGAGCAGGTCACAGATGGGATGGACACATACACACTCGATTCTGAGACAGCAGGGTTGGGTGAAGAAGGAAGAAAGTTAACTCCAGACTCGATGGAGTGGGTCTGGGTCAAAGGTTGATTAGAATATAAACATTTCTTGTGAATGAAGCCAGAACAGTGCCTGGCTTCAAGGCACACAGACCTCCACCAGCAGAAGATGGTGGTGGGCACCGGGAGGTGTCCAGGAGGGGCCCGCCAGAGGAAGTGGAGGCAGGTGTGCGGACAGGATGGGGGCTGTGGCAAGAGAGTGGGAAAGGCCACCTCTACGGCCAGAGCCCGGCGGCCCTGAAGGTTATCCCACAGCCCCAAGGGACCGCCGCACGTGTGCAGAGGCATGTTGCTGAAAGGTCACTTCAGTGGTTACGGGGATGGGGACAGAGCCGCGAGGACACGGCCGCGCCCCAGAGGGGCACTCCCCACGCCACGCCCCCGCCCGCACACTCACGCAGCAGCAGGCCGTGACGGTGATCTGGATGGTGTTGCGGCCCGGCTGGCACACATGCTTGAGGTGCAGGGGCTTGTGGGAGGTCTTGTTGTCGCCGCGCTCGATGGTGAGGGGCGTGGCATTGACGCTGACCTGCACCGAGGCCGGCCAATTGGTGTTCATCTGCCGGTCCTCGTGGTGGTAGCACTTGAACTGCAGCTCCAGGTCAGACCTGAGGAGCGGGGCAGGGCTCAGATGGTGCCGCCCATGGCCTCGGTGACCTGGCCACAGCCGAGGCCCTCGGGGCCTCACGTCCTCCATTGTGACCGCTGCCCTCAAATTCCTGCACTCTCCTCTCCCACCCTGGACAGCTCCTCCCCCATGTCCCCTGCCAAAAGCCCTCCCGGCCACCCATGCTCCCTCATACTGTTGACTCCAGCCACACCCCACAGCTCTGCTGGTCTCCCCCAGACCCCTCCCTATCAGGGTGACTGCCACTCCCCCAGGACAGAGACAGAGGGACAGAAAGGACAGACGCTAATGTGAGCAGACCAGCTGGGAGGCTGATTATGCCCAACCCAGACTCCAGCTGGAAGAAGCACCCAGGCCTGGGCTGCATCTGATTCAGTTCCCTGCTGGATGCCAGACATAGCACAGAAGATCCTTGTGAACCCAGCAGCGACCACGTACGTGTGGAAATCATGCTGGCCAGGGCCACGGGATGCCTCCCAGGCGAGGGCACTATGGTAAGGATGGACAGGTGAGCAGGGCTTCTGCACAGGGGTCTCTCCACCCTCCTGCCTGAGCACCTGAGCTCCTGGGCCCTTCCACCCACCCCAGCTCTGTCTGCAGCCCCCGCTGAAGCCTGCCTTGCAGGGTCAAGGCATTGAGCGAGCTGTGTGGATGTGCCCAGTGTGTACTCATCTTGTGCCTTTCAGCTGCCCATTGTTGGGCAGCTGAGACACTCTGGTCACAGTGGTGGCAGGGCAGTGTGAGTCCTGCCTGAGGAAGAAGGACTTAGAGTGAGAACACCAATGGGTTCTGGCAACCAGGAGAACTAGGCCTGAGTCCCAGCTCTGCCGCTTGCCGGGAGAACTCCCTGTTCAACTTCTCAGGCCTCACTGTCAATGGGAAAAGCACGGCCCACTGACAAGATCAAGAGAGGTCAGGTGTAGAAGGCAGAGAACACAGGGCGTGGCCTAGCCAGGACCTTCAGCCCTTGCCCTCTGGTGTCTGGACGTCTGAGCAGTGGCCTGGCTCAGTGGCCAGCCCCTGGCAATGCGTAGGGGTTACTGGTCCTGTCCAACCCAGCCTTATCTCTCACCATTCCTGCTCTAGCCACAACAAGCCATGTTCAAGTTCCTCTTGCCAGTGGTCTTTGGGTCTTGATGGTCTTTGGATCTAAGCTAGCCACCTTTTCCTCTAGGAGATCATCCCTGACCATTCCCTCAGGCCTACAGTGAGCCAAAGCTGCTCCCTGCCCTCGGGCCACTGCACCTGCCAGGGCCTGCCTGCAGGTTCCCCACGACATTCCCCAGACCTTGCCCAGAGTGGGGCCCAGTCAGTGAAGCCAAGCAGGTGAAGGCAGCAGGCAGAGGCTGCTACTGCCCGCTCAGGGCAATTCCCGGGCCAGGGAGGTCACCAGCAGAGGCCTCCCCCGCCCAACTTGGGCCTGGGCCCCCAGCACGACACTCACCTCCACATCAGCGTTTGGTGGACCGTGGGCCGCAGGTGAAAGACGTGGTTGCTGACGGCCAGGTTGTGCTCGAGGCGGAAGGGCTCCAGCACCACGCCATCCCGCACCGGGAACGTGAGCCGTAGCTCGTCGTTGTGGTTGGCTGGGCAGGAGAGCCACAGGTCAGCCACACGCCCGTGCCACCGTGGGCACGGACAAGTGTGCGCTCAGGGAACATGGGTGGAGCTCGCGTCCCCACATGACACACACTCCTGGCTGCGCGCTCCTGGGACTGCGCAGGTGTGTGTGTAAACACGGCCACAGAAGCTGGGACTGCACAGGTGTTTATATAAACACAGCCACAGAAGCTGGGCTATCAGCCTGTGTGCACACCAGGGAGCCCACTGCTTCTCTCAGTCTGCCCCACGCCATCTCCCCCATCCCTGCATCTCTTGTCCCCCTCATCTTGGCTCTACTCTCCTCTGGCCCCACCTACTCCCTATTCTGGAAGCCCCAGGCTCCTCCACCCAGCCCCTTTCCACGGCTGGGAGCTGCTTTTGCTCCCCGCCTCCAGGGGCTCAGGGCTGTGGGTGGCCCAGAACCACCCCAAATTTCCCTTGCGGGTGGGGCTTACCTGCTTCCAAGCCCTTCTCCTCTTTCTACATGCCCAGCCCCCACAGGCAGTGCAACGTCCAAGCCTCCTGGCTCCTGGCCCTCCATAGGGCCCTAGGTGGAGCTGGCCGGACAGAGGGAGGAGGTGGGGCACTTACCTGGGGGTGGTGGCAGAGCGCTCATATTTGGCTTGATGTCAGGTGGGAAGGGTGGTTTAACGTCTTGGCTGGGGGACAGGTACGGGGGGATGCTGCTCCCGGGGGTCATTGGGGGCGTGGGGTTCCCTGGAACAGGTGAGTGGGGGTAATTTGCCACAGGAACTGGCCTGGGAGGCTGGAGGGAAAGAGAAACCACACATAGGTTATGGGGTCACAGGGATGGGAGGCACTATGGCTATGGATGTACACCCCATCCACCCTGTAGTCCTGGGGCTGTGGTCCCTGCTTCCCGAAGGGTGGAGAGCCAGTCTCCCTGGAAATCCCTCCATCCTGGCCAGCACTCAGGTCTCCGGCTGCCTATGTCATCACTCCAGCCCAGCGCGGTCCTCAGATGGAGCTGGGCCTGCAGGACCCCGGGAAATTGGCTTCCTAGGAGCCCCTCTCCCTTCTGCTCTTAGTCCTTACTCATCCCTGCCCCCACCTGCCTGGACCTGTGGCTTCTGTCTGGGCATCACGGTGCCCAGGAGCTGAGGACTAGGGAGTATAGCCCCACCCATGGGCTTCAGGTGGGAACGGCCAGGCCTCTTAGACACACAAATACACCAGATCAAAAGTGGAACGTAGGGGCGCCTGGGTGGCTCAGTGGGTTAAAGCCTCTGCCTTTGGCTCAGGTCATGATCCCAGGGTCCTGGGATTGAGCCCCACATCGGGCTCTCTGCTCAGCGGGGAGCATGCTTCCCCCTCTCTCTCTGCCTGCCTCTCTGCCTACTTGTGATCTCTGTCACATAAATAAATAAAATCCTAAAAAAACAAAAAAAGTGGAACGTACCCTGTTGACGTTCCCTTGGCTGTAGTTACTGTAGCTGCTTCCCGAGAAGGTGTTATTTTGTCCATTAAATTGCTCTGGCTGTTAATGCAAGACACATGATGCGGTGAGAGTGGAAGGCGGAGAAGCTACCAGAAGCCTGCTTTCTCTCCCGATATGAAAACTGGACAGGAGTACAATACAGGGCATGCTGACGAGGCTCATCCAGTGCTGAGGTGCGGAGTGGGACCCCAGGGGGTAGAGCAGGTCACCCCCTCCCCATCCCGGAACAGAATTTCATCTCTCTCTGTCCACAGCTAGTGATACAGCAAGAGTTCCCAAAACCAGAAACACCCAGAATGCTGAAGCTGGAGCAGCGGCTGGGGAGTCATGGAAGTTAGCATGATTCCTGGGCAAATACACGTCAAGTGTGTCCAGAGTTGTCTGCGCTCCTGAGAACGAACTTTATGATCCCAAAGAAGGAAAAAGCTAGATGCCTGGAAATATTCATCACGGTGTTATTTTGAAAGTGAAGAGTCAAAAACAACGCAAATGTCAGACAGGAAGGGAACGATAAAATACAGTGTGGCTTAGATCCACAGAAGGTGAGGCACCCTAGAAAACGGAAAACCACAGAGACTCTGTAACAGTAAGTAACTGATTTCACATTAAGCAAAAGAAACAGATTCAAAATGACAACCTTAATAATAACTATGTAACATGACGATGCTCACGGGCAGTAGGGGAAAAAGGTTTAGAACTTAGTATTAATATAACCAGATGAATTCTATTTAAAAAAAAAAAAAAGTTATTTCCAGGGCACCTAGGTGGCTCAGTCGTGGGGTGTCTGCCTTCAGCTCAGGCCATGATTGCAGGGTTCTGGGATCGAGACCCATGTCAGGCTCCCTGCTCAGTAGGAAGCCTGCTTCTCCCTCTCTCACTTCCCCTGCTTGTATTCCCTCTTTTGCTGTCTTTCTCTCTCAAATAAATAAATACAACCTTTAAAAAAATAAACCCGTGCTTCCTTTATGATCATCGGTGCATGCTGTAAACAGCAACAGGGAAGGGGAAAGCCCTTGTCTGAGCCCCATGAGAACAGGAACCAAGAGAAGCCAGCCTGACATTTTGGCCATGGCTCTGAGCTCTCAAGGACACATCCGGAAATCTCCACCTGCCCCCTGGTGACTTCAGGGGACACAAAGGACCAAGATGACCCAGCAGGGGGCAGGGATATGAGGTGGAGATGAAGGAAGGGGCCGGTGGGGTGGTGGGACTCACCTTGTAATACTGCCCCATGTTGACCGTGGGGGGCGGGTACTGCCCGGTGCTCGGCTGGCTGGGCATCCTCTGCCCGGGGTAGTTGGGAGAGGTGAGCGGCCGTGGGGGGTTGGGGGTGGGGTACTGGCCTGGCTGGGTGGGGAACTGGCTGTTTGGTCCATATTGCTGGTTTCCATAGTTGGGCTGTGGCAGCAGATAGAGGAGAGGAGAAAGGCTGTCAGTGTCGTGGAGCCAAGCCACTTACCAGAAGGCCTGGAGCACCCTGGCCCGCAGCTTCATCCCCGCCCTTCTCCACAGACAAATTGCCTCCTCCACCCAGAGGGGGGTGGCGGCACAGAGGCTGTCCGAGCCCCTGCTGCCCTTACATCTGGGGACACGACGTTCTGTCCGTCTGGCTTGAGGGCCACCTGTGAGCAGCCTCCCCCAAGAACCTCACTTTCAGAGACTCTCATTCATCCCATTAGGGGGCTCGATTCTAAAGACCCCTTTATGTGTCTCCCAGCACCTGGTCTGTGGCAGGTGAACACAGACAACGGGATGTGCTTCCGGAAAGGGGACCCCCTCAACCCCTGCATTCAGAGGCTGAATATGGGGGGCCCCGGCTCCATACCCCACACCGAACAGCACACACAGATGTTCAGTTCTGGGCCATGCGTGCAGAGGTCGAGAGAAGCAGGCTTGTGGGGGGTCCAGACAACCCTCTCAAGACAGGCAACCGAGAGAGAAGACAAGGCGGCTTGAGGGAGGGGCAGGACCCCTGTCCTCGAGGATCTACGAGGTGACCCCTGACACGCCGATGTCCACCCCTGCAGCTGCCTCCCCCCTCCGTAAGATGAGGGGACCCTCAGGGCCGCCTGCCACCCAGACACTCCAGGCCATGACATCCCGCTAGGTTGGTGGTTTCTTCTCCCGCTCTCCTTATCTTCTTTAACTGTCTCTCTTGCCTCTAGGCTCAGAGGTCCTGGCTGTGTCCCAGTGTCTGGCAAAGAGCTGACCCTCCATAAACACTTGCTCAGCAAATGAAAGCAGAGTCCAGAGTTCAGCGGCAGAGGGTGGGAGGTGTCTTATGTCGGTGCTGAGGACCTCTGCCACTCACACTGCAGCGACAGGGGTGGCTGCTGTGGGTGACAGTGTGGTTCCTGTCACAGCACTGGAGGAGCAAGGGAGGAGGGGAGCCTGCCCATCAGGCCACCGAAGAGGAGTCCTGTGCGGGACAGCCAATCTGACACCTGCCCCAGCATTCCGACGGTTCAGAGATTCTAGAAGCATTGAAGGGTGATGCCTGCCTTCTCAGACAGGGTCAGGCCACACGGGCTGGGATCACGCAGTGTCCCAGCCCAGTGCCAGACATTTTGTAACTGGGGAACTTCAGCGTTCCACGAAGAGGAGGACTCAGTGGACATAATTCAAAGCTTCCGGTGTGTGCCTTCACAGGTGCAGGTGGACATCAGGGCGAGGACTGAGACTTTCTCTGCCTTTCCTTTCCTGGGATCACCTCCTTAGGGGCCGCCAGTCCCAAAGCTGGATCTGCAGATGGCATCGCTAGCCCAGCCAACAGGAATGCTGGGAATCTGAGCATAGAGGGGCTGAAAGGGGTCCAGAACTCCTGTGGGGACTGTGTTTGGCGGTGAGACCAGGAGCTTGAGCATCCCCCACACAAGGACAGCCAGGACCTCGAGAGCACTGTCCTTCTCTGGCTGGTGCCTCCTAAATCGGTGCCACCCAGGAGTGTCTGGGCTTGAGCCAGGCTCCCTGTGTTTGAGGAGGTCCCTGAACTCTCCCCTTCTGGACTCAGGACACCTCCAACAATGGTCAAGCCTGAGCTAGGGGGAATACTGAGGGAATCACACAGACCTTCGAGGAATGTAAGTCCTGGCCTCTAAACCCACCGCCAGGCCAAGCTGAAGGCCACAGTTTGGAGGCAAGTGGGGTGGGGATGGGGGGGAGCCAGTCTGAGAACAGGGCAAGCAGAGAGCTGTGGTGGAGACGGCTCAGCAAGAAGCTTTGCCTAGGTAAGGAACCAAGGCAGGCTTCCTGAGGAGCACACACTGGGCCAGGATTCTAGGGTCCCTGTGTCTTTTGCAGGTGAACTAAAGCCTTACCCGGACAGGCCATTGGCTGCCAGCTTTTCCCACTGCTCACTGAAGGCCCTATGACACCTCCTCTGGGAAGTCCTCTTTCTCTGACCTCATGTTTCATTCCGGATACCCCCTGTGTGTCACCTCCTTATGGGCTCCTGCTTAGACAGGTTTCTAGGAAGGTGATCCCCTTTCCTGCGAGTCTCATTTGCCAGTGGACGGGTGTGGGTTTTACTTCCTTCAATCTTCACCTTTCCCTTGACTGAGCCGGCTAGGCAGCCGGTGAGGCAGCATTCCTCCTGAAAGAGCAGCTGACAGTTGGCCAAGAAGAGCCCTAAGAAGCACGCTGTCTGCCTTCCAGTTGCTTCTTCGACACGCACAGCCTTTAGATATCTACAGACTTTTATTCCCTGTCTCACTCTTGCAAGTAAGAAGCCCTCGTGTGCAGGTGAGGAATGTGGACCCAAGGAGGCTTTGCTCCTTCCCAATGCCACCCGGCTAGTGTCTGTGCCAAGACAAAACACCACGCCAACCGCAGCTACTGCTGCCCCTGCCAGCCCCCAGCCAAGTGCTTCCTGTCCAGCTCCTCACTCATGTCTCCCAAGCGACCCCAGGAGGTGGGCTGGATCGGCGCCATCTTTTACAAATGAAAAACCAAGACTTCAGCAGGGAACGTGACTTGATTGATCAAGGGCTTCCGGCTGGGAAATGGCAGAGCTGGTCTCCAAGCCAGAAGCCTGACTCTGTCCTAAGGCTCAGACTTTTGGTCCAGGTTTGGTGCTGGTCAGTTCCTGCCTTTTCCAAGGTCTTGCCCACAGCCCATCTGTTTTCAAGCCCTGGGTCCTCCCCACCTCCCACCCTGGCGACCACCTGCCTGCTGTCACACTCACCTCTCCTGGGTATGGCCTCTTTATGCTCTGAATGGGAAGGGACTGGGGCCGGGGGCCCGGGTAGGTCTGCTGGGGCATCCGCTGCCCGTGCGTGCCAAAGGGGCTGATGCCGGGCGGCCGGGGCTGGTTCATGCCCATAGGAGGGCCGCTCATCCCCGAGGGTGTCATGCCAGCCGCCATGCTTGCGGGGTTCATGCTGCCCCCCATGGAGGCAGGCCCCCGCGGCCCGGGCTGGTTCATGAATTGGCTGTTATACGCCTGGGTGGGACCCATCTGGAAAGAGGAACAGACCTTCAACGGGAGAAGAAGAAAAAAAAAGAATAAAATGCCACATGCATTGAAAGTGCAGGGAGGGAAGGGGGGGGGGGGTGGGGGGCTCTGGGTCGGGGGGCACTTTCCTGTGTGGTTGCAGCTGGTGACCAGGCCCCAAGGGATGTCAGGCCTCTTGGGCTCACCACTGCCCTCTGCAGGCCGCACAGGAAAGATGCAGCCCAAGGGGTGTTACGGGGTGGGGTGCAGTCACTCCAGAGAGCAGGCAGCATTTCCAGGGAGGCAGGCAGGGAACGGGAAAGAAGGTGCAGAGGTGGGGAGGGGCATGGGAGGATGGAGGGGGATGAGGATGGAGGCAGGAGCCCCTTTCCTGGAAGCCCTGGCCCCGCCCTCGGCCAGTGGAGACACACCTTCCATCCACAAAGTCTGAGGCAATCCCAGCTCCCACCTCTGCCCACCTGCCCTGCTGTCCCCTTCCTACAAGCCCCATCTCCTGTCCCGTCCTCCATTCCTACGGGGAACCCTCTCTCCTCTCACCCCACCAGTCCTGAAGGTCAGGGGAGCAGAAATGGGACCTGGGCTCAATCCACAGATGGGATGACTAAGAGTATATGGTCTTCAGAAGCCACCACGGGGACACACTGGTGACAAGGCATTTTAGGCACTGAGCCCGCTCTTTGGTGAGCAGGCACCCAGAGGGCGATAAAGAACGTCTTTCCCCGTTCGCAGACACGCACAAACCACAAACCCACTTAGAACAAACACAAGCACCCAGACGGCCTCCCCCCTACCACACCCAACCACTCTGACACACCCACATCCTAACACACACCCGTCTACATGCCTCCAAGGAAACCCAGACGCACCCTGACACCATCAGCATTTCCAGCACACACGGCATCAACACCCCAACTCTGCTGGGGGGGCAAGGCTGGACCAGGACTAGTGGGGCCCTTACCGGTCCATACTGGTTTATATCCTTGTTCTGCGTCTCCTGCAAGGCTGCCACAGTGGCCGTGGCTGTGGCCGTGGCCGTGGCCGCTGCTGCCGCCACTGCAGCTGCTGCGGCAGCAGCCGCGGGCTGAGTGAAGTCAGCGGGCGGCCTGGTGTGCGGAGGGATGCCCATGCCTGCGGGGGCATTAGGACCCCCGGGGTAACTGCAAGGAGAAGAAGGGGAGACTTAGACACTGCCTGAATCTAGAGATGAACCCACTCTAAGCCCTGGGCTGGGAGGCTGGAGGGGAGAAGGCGGGTCCTTCCGTGACCTCCTGCCCTGGGCTCACAGACGGGGAGGCATCTGGACTCTGAACCCAAATGGGGGAGAGGGGCCTCCTGTGGGTTGGCAGCCCCTCGTGCCCCTTGGCGACAGGCAAGCTGCTATGTTCCCGAAGCCCTAGGTGGGGTCCGGCTTGTGCGGACCTTCCCGGGCATGAGATGACTGCATCTCGCTGACATGGGGAGCCCACCTTCTGGAGGAGGACATGGTGCCTCAAAAAACCCCGAGCACCTTGCCCACGGGCGTTTCAACCTGACACTTGCTCTGGGACAGAGGGGAAGGGCAGGGCCAAAGCTGCTCCCGGGGTTTGCTCACCTGGCCCCAAAGCCCCCGCTGCCGGGGTAGTTGGGCCGACCGTACATGCTCTGCTGGATGTAGGGCTGAGCGGGCCCAGCCTTGGCCGAGAATTGCTGCTGCTGCCCGGCAAACTGGGGGGAGTTGAGGCCGGGGTTGCTGGTGGTCATGCCCGATGCCATGGGGTTGCCGCCTGGATTCATGGGGTTGTTGGCATTGGCCATAGGGTTCCCGAGGACCTGTGGGCAGAGAGGTTGTCACCCAAGTGGTGCCCCAGGGGGCGTGGGAGGGAAAGAGGAGATACCGGGGGGTGGGGGGTACTGCTGAAATGGTACAGTGGGGAGAGCAGAGAGAAAAGGGGAGAAAGTGGAGGCATGAATTGTCCCCAGACCATACAAATGCTTCGAAGTGGGTAATGCAGCCTGGAAGCTGGCAGCGCAGGGGATAAGAACCCCGGCCTGTGATGGAACCAGGAGGGACTGGTCCTGCCCTCCATTGTAGGTGGAAGGAACTGGACTTCTCAGCCCTCCCCTGCCGAAGGGTCTGGATGCCCAGAGAACTGGGCTGCTGCTCTGTCAGGGCAGAGAGAAGCCCAAATTGCCAACTCTGGAGAGCAGCGGGATCCTGGTCGAGGGGTGCCTGTGGCCTGAAACTGCAGGGAAGCCTGGGGCTGCCCTCGGGGGCGGCCACCAGCCCCTAGCTGTGGCAGAGGCCGAGCAGACTGGATAAGAAGGCGTGGAGGAAAGAGGAAGGGATGAGAGCAGGAGGGTGGGCTGGCCAGCGGGAGGGGTGTGTCACGAGCTGAAAGCTCACCATTTTGCTGAAATCTGTCCCAGGTTACCCAGGGTCAAAGACCCCAGACACTGGAGCTCTGAGACCAACAACACCCAAGAAGTTCTCCTATTTATCCAACCCAAGTAAACGTGGGCTAGGGAAGAACCCCCAGCTCTCCGTCAGATGAACGTCATTCCCCCAGAAACGCCCTCAAACAGATGGGGACGGTGGTCTAGGGGCCAGCTGCTGCCCTTCTGAGCAAGCATGGAGGGTAGTGGCGTGTCCACGGCTGAGTGTGCCCCAGCAGCTGGTCTTTCCAGCTGGGCAATGTTAGGACAGCCGGCATGGGAGATGATGCAAAGGTCCCCATGCTCAAGGGATGGTCCTGCTGGGGAGAGGCTGCAGGTGGGGGCAGGACAGGCTCTTACCTGGCTCTGGGATGTGTTGGTCACTCCCCAAACCGTGGTGACCACAGAGAGGGAGCCGGGAGGCTGGTTGGTGTTCTGCTGCCAAGGGACAGAGTCATAGGGGAATGACCCATCACTGCAGAGGGAGACAGAAGGGGGATCCTTAGGGACTGCATACAAAGGAGGGTCCCATCACCCCACTGTCCTCCACAGCTTCCAGTCAAACCCAGGTGACCCCCATCTCTGACAGCTCTAGACCCCCTATGTCTGGCATGGGGTCCAATGCAAAACAGGCGTACTTCATGCAGTGGCAAACCGTGCCAGTGACCAAGTCTCCCCCCAGCGCTGTGGAGGTCCCACCCCCATGGCTGTCTGCCTCACCTTAGCCCAAAGTCCAAAGGAAGAAGACAGACCCCCAGGCCCCACCTGAGCTCCTCCTTCCACCAGGCTCAGACTCGAAGTGTCTCTCCAGAAAGAGCTCTACTTCCCCCGTGCCAGCTTCCCCTCGGAACTTCCCAGTCCCTTCTCAGAAAACACCGGAATGGCCCCAGTCTGAAGCTCGCCTCTTCCCCCTTCCTCCCCATACTCTGCAGCAGGTTGGCCACCCGGCCCACTGACAAGAGGTTCCTTTCGTCACCCCGCCTTCCTGCCTCTGGATCACAGGTACAGACCTGCCCGCCAGGCTTCCTCCCCTGCTCTGGCCTCAGTCTCCTGCACACGTCCCCACTGAGCTAAGCTCCCTTAAACACCCAAGACGCTTTCCACAGTCAAAGACCTTCAGTGGCTCCCAGTGTCTACAAGGCAAAGTCCAAACTCACACACTTCAACATGATTTACCCTTCTGGCTAATCCCACCCTACCCTGCTTCCCTGCATGGCTCCCACCTCTGCCGGAGCACCGTCAGCCATGGTCCCATTGCCCTGTCTCCCTGCTAGGCCCAGAAGCACCCACCGTGTTTGGGGTCATCTCCTGAGAAGCCCCCAAACACCAGAAGCAAGGACTTATTAACCTTAGGCCCAACACCCTGCTCTGCGCACAGTTAAGTGCTCAATAATGGCTTCCTCTTAGTTCCTGTGGTGCAGGTGAAGAGTGACCCCAGGAGAGGGCAGGGGCTGTCAGGGTTACGGCATGAAGAAAGTGCTGGGGTCCCAGCCCCCAGGAGTGCTGAGCTGGGGCTGTCTCTGCATGGACTCCCTGCAACTCTCATGGAGAGACAACCCTGGACATGGCCCCCAAGGGGGGAGAAAACGCAGAGCACCCAGATGTGTTGTAGCAGCCCCACACGGCTTCCCGACAGCAGGGAGGCCTGCAGGGCGGCACTGCTGGGTACCAGGATGGGGGGTGGGTCTGGGGGAGGCTGGTGTTGGGGGAAAGCACTTCATGCCTACGTCTGGCACAGGAAGTCAGCAGAAGGCAAAAGGGCTTGCTCACTCCTGGAGAACTTAGACCCTGGCCTAGCAGGCAAGCCAAGCCTGGCCATGGACGTGCTGGGAGCCAGCCCGGAGGTCAGGACTCACGGGGGAGGCACTGTCCTGTGTGACAGGCAGGCAGGGCGGAGCCAGCGGGGGGCAGGAGCGGAGTCTTGTGCCTGCCTTTTCCCAGGCAGAGCCCTCAGCAGGCAAGGCCCTGCGGGGGTGATCAGACTGGAAGGTGGGGCCGTGTCACTGTCTGCCCAGGCTTGCTCACCCCCTGCCCGGACACCCTCTCTGCCGGGCCAGTCCCTGGCTTCCTTCCTATCTCCGCTCAGAAGTCCTCTCGCTGGAGGGGCCTGCCCTGATCTCCTGGGGTAAGAGCCACCCCATCCCTTCCACTCCCTTTTCCTCCTGCCCTGTTTTTTTTTTTTTTTTTTTTTTTTTTTTTTTTGTACCCTGGGCATGAGTCCTGTCCCGTCCTGTCCTAGCTCCCGTCCAAATTCCCCTGTCTGCACCGAGTCCTCTCATCTGTCAAATGGGCATATGAAGGACATTCCCCTACTCTGTTCTCAGAATTTTTTTAAGCTGTGGGTCATGAAACACGACTGGGTCATGACATCAAACCAGCATGAGGGGAAAAAGAGGGAATTAAACAGAAAGCAGTTAAGGGTGAGCCCACAGTAAGAATAAAAAACGTTCCAGTTGCCAGGGGGGAGGGGGTTAGGGAGAGGGTGGTGGGGTGATGGACACTGGGGAGGGTTATGTGCTATGGTGAGTGCTGTGAAGTGTGTAAGCCTGATGATTCACAGACCTGTACCCCTGGGGCAAATAATACATTATATGTTAATTAAAATAAAAGAATAAATAACGTTCCTCAGTGGCTTGATTTTACGCGGAAGTGTGTGGGCACCCTGGGTCACGGTGTACTACGCATATCTACTGTGGGTCTCATTCAAGGCGGTCTGGACAACACAGGCCTTGGTAGTTTAAGTCTGATGTGGCTCAAAGAGGAAGATGCAGCCAGAAAGTTTTTCTCGGCTAGAAAGGGACACAGACCTGGGCATTACTTATGATTTCCAGGGGGAGATGAGAGGCCCTCAGGAACCCAGACCTCCTGCCTGCCCCCTACTCATGCCAGCCAGACACAGCGTGGGCCAGTGAAAAGGAGGTGAGGCCCAGATGCACTGACCAAAGCTGGCGGACAGCTCATACTCGCATCTGGGAGGGCTGCTTGGGAATCCAGGAGCCCAGAGAGCTCAGGACGGGTGGAGAAGCCCAGGGAAGGAAGTTATGAGCCTGGTCCCGAGCACAGCTGGGCTGGAAGGACCTCCCTGGGAGAAATCACAAAGGACTGGGGTTCCACCTGGTTCTGGGCCTGGCACACCAGCAGCCTGAAGGAAAGCCAGGCAGACTACAGTTTAGACCAAGAGAGAAGACCCCTAGACACGAGCTGTCCTGTGAGGCCCTCAACCTTGGTGTGCAGGATGGAACACAGGACCCTCAGCAACTTAACAGCACAAGTGTGCGTCTTCTCTGCCCCACAAGCTCCCAGCGACCCTCCAGGCTGATGTTCAGTTGGTGTCCTTTTAGTATGTGCCTGGTAGGCTCAGAAGGAGAGCCCTCTGGGAGCCCCTGGAGCCTGGTAGGGCCCCACCTGCGCCTGGGGGAGGGGGAAACGGGCAGCTGCTGCCTCACCCCCTCGGGTGGGGAGGCCCCGGCTCACCGGGATACTGCACAGGCCGACAAACCAGCCCCCGACTGCCCTACGGCTCCGTGGGTGGGCCTTGTGGGCGGAAACCAGCTCCTTCCTGTTTCGTCCTCTCTGCCTGAAACTTGGTGAGAAGCAAACTTAACCGTGGTTCCCAAACTCAGCATGCCCACCGTCTGGCTGGAAGGGGACCCCCAGAGTCCCAGGCCCATCCTGGGAGTGCTTGCGGGCGGCTAGGGACACGGCTGTGGGTCTGCACATGCACCCTGCTGCCACGGTGCTGTGCACACGTGGGGGCAAAGACAGGCACACGCGTGAAGGGGCGGTCTCAGGGACTTGCTCGCCCCCACTCGCACCTGCTGCAGAAGCAGAAGTGGCAGCCGCACCAACACGGCTGTGACTCATCTCCTGGGGAGACGGCTCCTGCTGTCGCAGGGAAGGCTCTCGCCCCCACAGGCCCATGGCAGTCGGCCCTGCTACCGCCTCTGCCCGGGCTCAGACACCACCACGAGGGGGCGGGGGGCTGCCCGGCTACAGCTCCCTATGGACTCTGAATGAGGACAAGCCCGGCTCCTGGGCCCTACCAAGGTGGGAGGGGGCCTAGGGTGATGAAGAGGAGGCCTAGGGGGCCTGTGGGAGAAGGGGGGTCGTGAGGCCCTTCCTTCCACTGGCAAGTACTATTTGACCTGCAGATGAGGTCAGCCCGGGTCAGGGGTCCTGGCATTTTGGAACTGCCTGCTAGGAACCACTTCTCTCCCCTTCTTCATAGTGGGTTGTGGTTCAGAGGGAGGCCAGGGCCGCTGGGATGTCAGCATCCCACTCTTAGTAATCCTGCCCAGCTCTGTGCACCCCCAGTGGGTACACCCCATCGTGCACCACCCCAGAGCCACTCTCATGCTGAAAGCTGCGGCACGAGTGGCAGTCCCATCCAGCCAAAACCACCACAAGAACACCAGTCCCCCCGGAGAGGCACCCGTGCCAGCAGCCACCTGTAATCTAGGTAGCGTTCTGCCTACCCAGCACCTCCTCACGGGGAGGCAGCTGCTTTCCCACTGCTGTGCCTCGTTAGTCTGGAACGCTTCCTCCTCACCCTCATCCTTAGTCTGGAACGCTTCCTCCTCACTCCTCCTTCCCAGGCTCCTCTTCCAAAGGCCACCTCCTCCAGGAAGCCCTTGGGAAATTCACTGGCTTGAGCTCCACTTGTTCTTCACATTCACAGAGCCTGAGTGGGGGCCCACTGAGAGGCTGCCTTTCTCCTTCTATCCCAGGAGTCCTGACTTAGGCTACCTGTGCCTGGCATGATGTCTCCACACACTTACAGGACTCCGAAAGCCTTTGCTAACCAAAGTGCCAGAGAGAAACACTGACTCTCCATACCCTCTTCAGAAGGAAGCCCGAGAATGAGTAACTGTGTCCACTCGTTAAACCTGACTGCTGACCACCCACAGTGCGCTTGTGACCCCACGGGCACTGGCTCCCAGCAACCGAGTCCCGCCCTCCGGGGAGAGGAACAGAGGGAAGCTAATGAAGCAGCTACTTGCTCTCTCTATGCCTCAGGGTCCTTGTCTGTAAAATGGGACAATAACAGTATGTCTCTCAGAAGGCTGTCAGGAGGACTGAGTGAGCTCCCACGTGTAAGGCAACGTGAGCACATGCAGCTTACCTCGGGCACCTAAAACTGGTGACTGCCGCTGTTGTTATGATTTATTGAGTGGCTTCTAGAAGCAAGGAACTAGGTGAAGGGACTTTCACTTAAGAACTCATTTCATCCCTTAAAGTGGGCTCAACTCAGATGCATCTGTAGGAGCTGAGGGTCACAAGGTCCTGGAGCTTGTCAAGGGCGAGACTGCCAGGTGGGCTTGACCTCATCCCCTTGCCTCAGGGAGCTAAGGATCTGGTAAGACAGCACCTCCCTGCACAAAGATGGGGAGGGGCGCCTGGGGGGGGTGCTCAGTCGGCTAAGCGGCTGACTCTGAGTTCACGCTCAGGCCATGATCTCAGGGTCATCAGATCGAG